GTTGTTGTTGTTGTTGTTGTTGTTGTTGTGGGCTTCTAAACTAGCATTTACGGTATTTTAAAAGCAACAGCCCAAAATCTATTGGTCCTTTAAACGGTGACGTGCTTCACTAGGAAATGGCCAAGTGTTTTGTGCGATTTGTGTAAACTCTATTGATGCGCGCTCGGCATTCACCGAAGGAAAGCAGCAGGTCGGACGCGAGACTCTCTGCCAAACGAGCAGCATCTAAACCACAGACTTTATTCGCCACTTAAGCGACTGTAATGTCCTCATCGGTGGATATCCACGCGCAGCTGGCGTCGATCCTCGAGCGCTTCGCCAAATGCGCGCTGCTGGAGATGAGCCGCGCGGTGGAGCTGGAGATGACGCGCCGCCAGATGGAGACGGAGACGCTGCTGGTCAAGCTCCAGTTCACCGAGAGCGAGCTGCGGTCAGCGCGACAGAGCCAAGCGAACCTGCGCTCCGTGGGAATACAAGTCAACAACAGCGGCCAGAGAGGACAGAGAGGTACGCGTAACTCCAGACACACCTGCGCGTTTTCATCTTTAATCGTAATATAGCAACTTGCGCTTCCGCTGAAACGACTTCATGTCGCTGCTGACCTATGCAAGGCCCCGCTGCGGTTCAGCCAATAGCCCGCGACCCTTCAACCTGTCACACAACGCCACATATAACTGGCCTCGCTAGAGATGGTGAAAAGATGCATTTTCGGATGCTTTCCTCTTAAAACGTTGTTTCCCATCCCTAAAGCACCGTGGTTACGCGCGCGCTGGCTGGAGTTTTTACACTTCGAGGAAGGAGGAATAACGGAGAACTCGCGCTTGTGCTCGCGGCATTTCACGCCTGAATGCTTTCAGAATGTAACGCAACACGAGATGGGCTTCGCTAGAGTCCTGTGTTTGACCGAGACCGCCGTTCCGTCCGTGCACACCGTCGGTGCGTCACCAGCTGCGAAGGTAAGCGCGACTACCCTCACAACAAGTGCCATTGAAAATACTATGGGTTATCAACGCGTTATTGCTGTTAACATCAGATAGAGTGGTTTTTGTGAGGGTAGATGGGCGTTCGTTCATCCATGCATGCATCCAGGGTTGAAACAATAAAATATTATACAATACAAAATACCTTAATTTTAATTGTATGCAAATAAACTACAAAATACAGCAGCCACACCATGCATCAAAATAAACTACTGTATTTTTGTATTTTAAAAATACTAAAAAATACTTTTCTTTGCAAACCTTCCATCAATTGGCCAATTTGATCTATTCCTTCACCATTACACTGACTCAGTTGACAATGTTTAACAGCAACAGCTATTCTCTGCCCGAGTCATGCAATAAATCTGACATGTGCAACCAGTTAACAGATCAAATATTCACATATTTATTTATTTAGTCATTTATCAGACGCTTTTAACCAAAGCGACTTCCAACTGAGGACAACAGAAGCAATCAATTGTAGCATTAAAACAACTAAAAACAAATACAATGCTAAAACTTTATAAATACTACTTATACACATTTTAAAAATAAAGAAATTAAATAAAAATGACAAATGCATACAACAACATTCCAAAACTTAACATTTAAATGAAAAACTAAAAATTAAAGCTAAAAACAATTCAAATATTAAAGAACAAAAGGTATAAGAGTATAATAATGATTCTAACACAACACTAAGCCAAACACCAAAAAAACAACTACATGTGTGTGTGTACAACCACACACACATACACACACACACACACACACACACACACACACACACACACACACACACGTATATACTGTATATGTACATACACATTTATATATATTATTTCATTTCCATTTAGTTTGTTGAAGTATTAAAATAACTCAAATTAAATAAAACTAAAACTTAATGAAAGACCTATACAGACATAATACATTCAGACATAATGTAACTAACATTAAAATAAATAACTAATACAAATCAAACTACAGTAGTTTATCAGTAATCCTAAAAAATAACACTGAGCCAAACACACATGCTAAAAAGAGACAACTTGCTGACACGTATAAGAAATGGTTATAAAAACTGAAACAGAAGCGAAACAAGTAGGAAAGAGGAGAAATAATATCCCTGTGACCTCCCAGAGGAAGGTTAGGTTTAAAGTAACCAACAGTTTGCGAATGAAAATCCTATTTTATATTTGAAATACATATTTGAAAATACATGCATCATAAATACTGCCCATCC